AAGACGTGGCTGTTCCAACTAGCGGGACTGGCCTGAGGGATTTTAAAGGGGGTTTTAATTACTTTTAAATTGGACATATTTAAATATTTCGTTTTAATCAAATTTTAATTAAGTATGTATATATGTTAGTATTTTATTCAATTGTCAGCCGCCCTGAGTCCGTAAGGAGAAGGGCGGGATATAAATGCAATTAATAAAAAAAATAAATAAAAATAAAATAAAATAAAACCTTGGCAACTTTAAGATGTGTGGACTTCAACTCCCAGAATTCCCCAGCCAGCTGAGGAACACCTAAGAAGACAGCAAGTTCCCAACATTTGTTCTTGCAACCTGAACAGTTCTTGGACAGGGTTCAGAAATTCCACTAATTAGACTGATGTTTGCCTCTGCATGGGAAGCCTCTCAGAAATGTAACCAGTGTGCAAGCAGTATGTGTGCACTCATATGGGACTTTTACTTAGCATGATTCAAAATTCCTTCCCTCTTAATTTCCCTTTAGGTTTAGTGATGCTGCTTGACTTTGGCATGATCGCGAGGCTGCAGAAACACATTTGCTATCTGCCATTATTACCAATTTAAGTTCCCCCAGTTTTATAAAGAACCTGACAACAACGGATATCAATTGTGTTTCAGGATCTCACTTGAAACGTCTGTTTATCATCCTGGAATTCCCCAATGAAATTCTCTGGCGGTCATGGGCTCAAAAACATTTTTTCTTCCAACTTCAGCCTATGAAATGTAAAAGTAAAGAAACGTGTTGTTGTTGTTTGGTGGGAGAGGCTATTTTTGTGCTCAATAGAATAATAAAAAAGAAGGATGCCTTTAACTGGAAATTAAAGCTAGATACAAATAGAATCTGGAAGCAGGCAGATTTTATTAAGAAAACTGCAAGAACGATTCCAGGCAGTGGCCAGGCATCAAAAAGATGACTCAAGGGGAAAGAAAGAAAGAAAGAAAGAAAGAAAGAAAGAAAGAAAGGAAGGAAGGAAGGAAGGAAGGAAGGAAGGAAGGAAGGAAGGAAGGAGGAAGGAAGGAAGGAAGGAAGGAAGGAAGGAAGGAAAGAAAGAAAGAAAGAAAGAAAGAAAGAAAGAAAGAAAGAAAGAAAGAAAGAAAGAAAGAAAGAAAGAAAGAAAGAAAAGAAAAGAAAGAGGGAGGGAGGGAGGAAGGAAGGAAGGAAGGAAGGAAGGAAGGAAGGAAGGAAGGAAGGAAGGAAAATGATTTGGCAAAGGTGATGATGGTTCTTTTGAATAACTGAACCCTAATCTCAACTCTAACTGAATGTAAAGGAATTTAGAGCCAAGCTTGGTTGAGACATGAAAGTTTCCTTAGGGAGGAAGGAATGGGCCATTAAGGAAGGACTTGGAAAAGAGTTTACAGATAGAGCTTGACTTACGAACAGTCATATATGGACTGTTTAAAGTTACGACAGACACACACCCCCAATGATTTTTTTAAAAAAATTACTTTACTTTATGCACAGCTGGCTCAGGAATTCTGAAAGTTGAAGACCACAGTTCGTAATGGACCATAGTGGTCCAGCCCTGCACAGAAAGTCAAGAGTAAACTTGTTTTCCCTGGATGAACCTCAGAAAATAGTAAACACGATCCCATTCCTGTTTTATATACAATATTTATTTTCCCCATCTACTGAAACCCATTTTTATCTCTCAACAATCATGCTTTTTTTAAAAAAAAGGCCTTGCCAAAGTGAACTGCAGACTGACGGAAGAGAACTGGCTCAGTAATAACACACCAACAATAATAAAAACAACAAGAAATGTGGTAAGCCTATTCTTGGAAAAAAAGATGTTTTGTCTTTTTTTTTTAAAGGCCTCATATCAGAATACTTGGGTAGATACAGTATGTCTGCATGATTTGCATCATATTTTGATACAGCTTCTCTGCTAAAATGGAAAAAAAACCCAACCATTGTAATTCATAGAACATCTTCATCATTCACAAAAAAATAATAATAATAAAGCTTAACTAGGGCTGAAATCTTATAGACCTGTGAGATCCTTGGTGCTCTCTGAACTTGGCTGTTTTCTTGCAGACATTTTAAGAAAACCACCAAGCTTAAATAGCACCAAGGACCCCCCATTTCAAACCTGAGCTACAAATATTATCTTCTATTGGTGTCTTATAGAACAGTGAATATTAGGGGTCCTTGATGCTCTCTGAGCTTCCTTGTTTTCTTGCAGACGTTTCATTACCCTAACTAGGTAACACTATCAGGGCTAGTAAGGAGTGCTGTTTGCTGTCAGTTTTATATTCTGGTGTCTTGCCTATCTGGAAGTGTGGAGGCGGTCTTAGGAATTCTTTGGTTGGGCTGTTTACTAATGGCTCTTTGGCAGTTTCTTGACTGGGGTATTTGCTTCCTTGATTGTTGGTCTGAAGTTAATCTATGCTGATCTGAGTACTGATTACTGGTGGAGAAGTGCTGGAGTCTTTTTCTCTTTGGAGCTGGTTGATTGTCTCTTTTGCATAGTCTATAGATGTTGTTAATGTCTATCTGTCATTGATGGCTAATCTGTCAGAGTGCCAGGCTTCTAGAAATTCCCTAGCATTTTGGGATTTGGCCTGGTCTAAGATTGTCATTGGCAAACGAGGTCCAGGCAGAAGAAGAACATCGTGGCTTCAAAATCTAAGGGACTGGTTTGGACAAAACTCAGCAGCACTTTTTCATGCGGCTGCTGATAAAAACGGGATCGCCAACATGATCGCCAACGTCCGATGGCACAAGATAGGCACAAGAAGAAGAAGATGGCACAAGAATATGGCACAAGAAGAAGAAGATTGTCACATTTTCTCAGTTGAAACTATGGTTAAATCTGTCTCTATGTTGTGAAATTAAAAAAAAATAATCATGCCGTTTGATTGCCAGTTGGTGTTCATGGATGCGTTCTGCCAGTCTTCTGCCTGTTTGTCCTACATAGTGGTTGTTGCAGTTCTTACATTGTATGTTGTAGATGACTCCTGTTTTTTCTTCTGGGGTTGCTGGTTTTTTTGGTTTGCTTAGGATGTTTTGAAGAGCTTTAGTTGGCTTGTGTGCTACGCTGATCCCATGTGGTTGTAGTAGTCTATTTGCGGTTTCTGAGATATTCTTGATGTATGGCAGTGTAATTCTTGTTAGGGTTTGTGTTGGTTGTGCTGTATTGAGTTGAGTGTTCAGGGACTTTTTGATGAAGTTGCATGGGTATCCATTTTGTTGGAATGTGTTGTATAGATGCTCCATTTCCTTCTTCTGCTGTTCTGAGTTGCTGCAGTGTGTTTGGGCTCATTTAAATAAAGTCCTTACACAGCTTCTCTTGTGGGAGGTTGGGTTGTTGCTTTGGTAGTGGAGCACCTGACTAGTATGAGTGTTTTTTCTGTAGACTTGTGTTTCTAGTTTGCCATTCTGGTGTCTGCTGATCAGGATATTTAGGAAGGGTAGCGAGCTGTTGTTTTTTTTTCTTCTCTAGTAAACTGGATTCCTTTAAAAATGTTATTGATGGTTCTGTGGGTGTTCTCTAACTGGTCCTTTTTTATTATAGTGAAGGTGTCATCTACATATCTGATCAATATTTTCGGTTGTATTTGTGGGAGTGCTATGGCTTCTAGACATTGCATGACAACCTTCACTATAAGTCCTGAAAGCGGTGATCCCATAGGTGTCCCTTTAATTTGTTGGTAAATTTGGCCATCAGATTGGAAGTATGTAGTTAAGCAGAGGTTTATAAGATCCATAATCCTGGGTGTTTTGATTTTTCGTGTATTCAATTAAGTCAGGTGTACTGTGAAGCAATGCAGTCATGGATTCCTTGGCAATTATTAGTTATTATTATTATTATTATTATGGATCATCGCACAGTCAGCCAGATGTTCAGACTGGATTTGGCATTTTTGTCTACCTATTGAGTCCTTACCCAGGACCTGGGATAGGCAGATGTGGATGTTTGATGGTATTACAGATATCGTCGCAGGATGGAAGCAGTTCCTATTAAGGCTGCCTTTTGCAATTGACTAATAGCGAATTTGTCAATGCCAATGGTGTTCAAGTGGTGCTCCAGTTGTTTTGGGATTGCACCCAAGGCGCCTATTACTATTGGTACTACCTTTATTATTATTATTATTATTATTATTATTATTATTATTATTATTATTATTATTATTATTATTATTATTATTATTATTATTATTATTATTAAATATTATTCTGCTTTGTGTGTGTGTGTGTGTGTGTGTTTTAAACAAAACACAGAGTTCAACTGAATGGATGCCTTAAGGGCTATTCACTTCTAGCTCCCCCCATTCTAATGCTAGAACCGCAGACATGTAGATAGCAATATGATTAACACATTTTCTTATTTCATCCAGATTCTTCCTCCTTTCTCTCTTTTCTTTTGGCTTTGATCTTCGCAAACCCTTCCCAGGCTCAGTTGGAACAGTCATTCTGAGACTAGTAAAACTCAGGCCAAGCATCTGCTTTCTGAGTTTCAGCATTTGTATGCCAGGACTTGTGTAATATTGATTGCAATCTGGCTTTTCTCCCATAGCCCCTTTACATACATGAATTATGAGCCCTTTTTTCCCAGACAGTTATATGCAGAGGCATAATTCAGGGGGAAAAGATCAGAAGACTAGAAGGGAGGATTATTCCCTTTGGTGTCACTTGTCTTATTTTTGCACCTTCCCATCATGATGCTCACAACTACCAATGTCTCCATGGACATCTCTCTTGATCTCCAGCAAGATTCTTGCCCCAATTGGCCATATAAAGGAAATATTTTAATTTTTTAGCTTCGTATTTGTATTCTGATAGTTTATTTATAAAGCTCTTATCTCCCCTTGGAAAGACTTATAGGGTGAATATATCTTATCTAGAATCCTAACAATGTAAACAAACACTTAAATACATAACATAAGTTGCTAGATAGCATGTCAGAACAATCTAAAAAACAATATAATCTACTATCCAGATTCCTAAATGTTTCTAGAAGAACCCCAGGCAGGGCATCAAGTCAATAGCACTCCCTTCTTCAGCTTCCCCAGTTTAGAATAGTGGTTAAGGCCCAAGACTAGAAACCAGAAGACTCTGAGTTCTAATCTAGCCTTTGGTAGTAAAACCAGCTAGGTGTCTCTGGGCCAGTCTTTTTTGCTCAGTTTAACCCAAATGAGGAAGGAGCATTATGCCTTGAGTTACTTATAAAGTAATAAAAGTGGGATTTAAAAAAAAAAAATCAAATAAATAAATCTTGTATTAGCAGACATGGTGTCTCCATTATTGGAAATAATGTATACTCTGCATGTCTGGTAGCCATCAATGTCTCCATAAATTTGGCCTTGTAAATCTGTCTTAACTCCCTTGGAGCCATAAACTAAGTAATGAGCTGGCCAAATTTGAGGGTGAAGCTCAACTACTCAGGGTGATGAAAACCAGAAACAATGGTGAAGAACTTTACAAAGATGTCTTCAAGAATCCAATGGCTTAAAAAGATGGATAATTTTACCCATTGTTTCAGATGTTAGTGGGTTTTGATTATAAGAAAAAGAGATTGATCTCAACAACAGAATTGTTTAAGGCTACAAGCTTCCATTCTGTCAAGCACAAAAAATCAGATCTACACATGAAGGCCCAAGTTAAAATGATTTGTGGCTATTCATACCTATGCCCAGGAATATTCTCAACTAACAGTTAGCACCTGCTTGGGTTAGATAAGGATCAACAGAATTCAAGATTGGACCTATTTCACTTGTGGCTATGTACGGATTCTAGGTTGATCCCTCATTTGACTCTGCCCCCTGATTCTGCCACTCCTTCTCCTACACATTCAACATTATTAAGCATGGAATGGATGGTCACTTATCATTTCAGCAATGCAAGGTCCGGTGATCTTTGAGTTTTCTTCCAACTTTGCAATTTGGTGGATGAGCGAGTTTCATACTGATGATCTCTAAGCCCTTTGCTTTTCTTCCCTGATCAGAACACGGAAGGTCCTGATTATCCCACTTTCAACCTAGTTATTTTTATCCCAGTGATCAAGCAAGCAGTTTTCCAACCCCCACCTCAAGTTCACTTTTTAGTGAAGCATTACTGTTTCATTTGATTCTGGGCAATTTGCCCCAGGAGAGAGAGAGGGGCTGTCTGTTCCTTCAGTCAAAGAGAACAGATTGTACGGACAGCAAGCAGATGGGGTGTCTTTCAAATATACCAGGACTGTCTGGGGAGTTATTCTTCTATTTTCTACTATGATGATTTAGACTGAAAACCCAATTCTGCTCTGTGATATTATCTTGTCTCCTTCCAAGCTATGGCTTCATAGATTTTATTTCATCTCCCTTCCTGCACTTTGGTGATAGTCTACCGGGCTTCTGATCTAGTTCCAGTGACTTTGGGGAGGTCACTTCAGGTCAAGCTGGACATCTTTGCAACATTTTCCCCCCACAAGGCAATGATCAGTAACCTCTTTTCTACATTTGTGTATTATTCCTGTGCTGTGACATTTATTTGCACAGAGTGGGGTGGAAAGAAAGATTTTGTGGGTAGAAAGTGATGGTCTACTTAGAAATGAGGTGCCCAACATCAATCTTTAGGAACAGATGTAGAATGTCACTTAAAAGTAAAGTCTCCTTCAAGTAAAGAAGATGTAAAGATGTAAAAAAGATGTTGAGACACTAGAAAGAGTGCAGAGAAAAGCAACAAAGATGATTAGGGGACTGGAGGTTAAACATATAAAGAATGGTTGCTAGAATTGGGTATGTCTAGTTTAATGAAAAGAAGGACTAGGAGTGACATGATAACACTGTTCCAATATCTAAGGGGTTGCCATAAAGAACAGGGAGTTAATGTACTCTCCAAAGCACCTGAAGGCAGGACAAGAAGCAATGGATGGAACCTAATCAAGGAGGGAAGCAACCTAGAACTAAGGAGAAATTTCCTGACAGAATAATTAATCAGTGGAACAACTTGCCTTTAGAAGTTGTGGGTGCTCCATCACTGGAGGTTTTTAAGAAGAGATTGGCAACCACTTGTCTGAAATGGTACAGGGTTTCCTGCCTGAGCAGGGAGTTTGACTAGAAGAACTCCAAGGTCCCTTCCAACTATGTTATTTTGTGAAGTTATGCTCAGCTTCTGATGGCTTTATGGACAACCTTTCAAGGTCAGCCAGACGAGGAAACAAAGTTTATGAATGTTAATAGTACTTTTATTATAAGGTCACAGTAATAAAATCTTGCAAGTCTGAATGCACATCTTCCCTCCTTCCTTTTATTTACAAGAGAATTAGGGAAGGTCAAGCTTGAGACATTTTCTCAGATTACAATTCTGCCTCAGACTCAAATTTCTTTTCTCTACTCATTGTTTTGGTTGCAGCTCTTCCTTCTCTTTCTTAAAGTATTCTTTCTGCCCATTACCCTTATGTGGTTTTATTAGTAACAGTGCAGGGTGGTTTGCCAATCCGTTTTCAGGTGTAAAATTGTTCCCAACTTTCTATATACTTTTTAATCTGATAGAAAAGGGGAAATATGACATAAAGGACTGGAGAAAAAACAGCAACCACAAAATAAAGGTAAGGTTAAAAACCAATCAATGACAATTAATATAATAATCCTATGGACAATCGGGCCCAAATGCCCAAACAAAGAGCTACGTGGCACAAGATGTACATGTGCTATATTTTATTCCCAAGAGAAAAACATTGTCAGGCACAAAGGATCAGGATAATTCATTAAGTCGCAGCACAAAAGATTTTTTTCAAGTCTATGCATAAGAATCTAGTCAACCTTAATTATTAAATTGGTGCTAGATAAGGGTTAACAGATTTCAAAAAGAGTTGGACTTGGATCGTTTGTGGGAATGTAAGGACTCTAAGCTGATGACACATTTAACATCGCCCCCAAACTCTGCCTGCTCTTCTCCTACAAACATCACATTTAAGTATCCACAATGCCTCTTGAGAAATTCAAATGTTTGTCTGAAGAGAAAACTGGAAGAGTTCTAGAAATGCTTGATAATTTTCTCTACTTATGGTTTGATCACCATAGCAATCAATTGTCACTAATTTTTTTTCATCTTCTAATTCTTAAGGCAAGGTATAGGTAAATAAACAAACAAGCAAACAACAGGAATGAGAAAGAACAGTGTGGTGGTCTAGAAATGGAGCTCTTGCCTCACAATCAGGAGGCAGCGAGTTTGATCCTAGGTAGCAGCAGATATTTCTCTCTCTGGGTGCAAAGAGAAAAATATCTGCTGTGAACTCTGCATGGGTGTCAGGAAGGGCATCCAGCCAGTAAATGCTCAGCTCCATTTAGTCACCATGACTCCACCCCAATGTAAGGGATTTCAGGGACGTTAAAAGGAAAAAAAGGCAAGATATAGGTAATATTTTTGGACTGCTGAGCATCTTGAGAAAGAGAAATTCATGAACACTAACACAAATTGCCTGCAATGGTGAATGTAAGGAGACATGGAACATCATTTCTTAAAATACAAGGTGGTGACTTGTTTTTTTGTCACCATTTCTAGCTTTCCATGATGCTTCCTTGATCCCTGTTTTATTTAGTCTATTTAATCTGTTATCTGGGGAAAATTGTGAACACTTTCCCGCCATGGGGCTTCAGTTGCCCACCATCTTTTATTTTTTAAGTATGTGGTGTATGTGGGGTCTAGAGACATTCTTGTAATTAATTTATTTTTCTTTTCCTGTTGAAGAAAAATCAATCAGACAAACAATGGGAGAATATTGTAGAGTTAAAAGTGATTCAACTCACTTCTAAGCTAAGATTTGGTTTGTTTAAAAATAAAATAAGCTTAATAATAATAATGGGGAGGAGGAGGAGGAGATTGTGGTGGTGGTTTTGATGATCAGGGGGGATTAGAGCCAAGATACATATCCATCAACGCCATGCTGTTTACCCCTTTTATAAGAAAAGTCATCCAATAAATGCAATAAGAACAATCAAGAAAAGAAAAGTTGGTGTCTCCTCCAGAAATTTTTGTTTGTTTCTTTCCAGTCAACAGTTCAAAATTCTGCTCACTCAGAGCTTGGTTCAGAAGGAGAAGTTTTTAATATGATAAATTGCAACATCTGGCCAAGTTCTAATACTAGCATCAGGTTAAGTTGTTGATTTATGTGACATTATGTTCCACTCTGAAAAATCAAAAAAGAAAACGCCTTGAATACCTAAAAACATGCATTTCAGAACCAACCTGATAGGTAAGGAAGGGTCTCCTGCATCCCACCAATCCTTTGGCGGACTAATATACATGCACCAAAGCTCCCAGCTGTATCCATGGGCTGAATTTTCATAGCGCTGCACCTCAAAGGTGTCCTGCTTGATATTGTCAATTGATGGGAGGATGACCCTTTTCCGGTTCTCCTGGATTCTTGAAAGAACTGGCTCTGCCCTAGAAGAGAAAACCAAACCATTAGTTTTGAAAGATGCTGGGCAATTACATTCCAAGAAGCACACAATTGATTAGATTGGTTCTCGTAATTTGATACCTTCTGGATACGTTGTGATTGCTTTTGCCAAAATTCCTAGAAATGAATTGGCAGGCAGAGGAATGCTGCATTCAAACCATATACCTTGAATGAAGGATGAATGTATGGTATATACAATCATTTTATAAGGAATCAAAATTCTAGTCTACCTACCTTTGGCTAGTCTAAAGAAAAGAAGAAACAGGGGAGACATGATAGCAGTGTTCCAGTGTCTGTGTGGCTGCCACAAGGCAGAGGGGGGCAGGTTGTTCACCAGAGCACCAGAGAGAAGAATGAGAAACAATGGTTGGAAACTGATCAAAGAGAGAAGCAACCTGGAATTAAGGAGAAACTTCCTGACAATGAGGACAATTCACCAGTGGAACAGCTTGCCTCCAGAAATCGTGGGCTCTCCATCACTGGAGATTTTCAAGAAGTGACTAGACATTCACCTGTCTGAGATGGTATAGTTTCTCCTGCCTGAGCAGGGGACTAGACTAGAAGACCTCCAAGGTCCCTTCCAGCTCTATTCTATTCTGTTCTGTTCTGTTCTGTTCTGTTCTGTTCTACCTAATAGCATACATTCTATGCTATTATAGTTGGTCACACAGTTAGCTAGATGTTGAGACTAGATTTGGCATTTTTATCTACCTATCAAGTTCCCAAGGACTTGAGATAGGTAACTGATGTTACTAAAGGTACATCACAGATGTAAGCTGTTCCAAGTAAAGCTGCCTTCTGCAATTGACTGATGGTGATTTTGTTAATGCCGATGGTATTCAAGTGATGCTCCAGATGTTTTGGAATTGCACCCAAGGACCCTATTACTACTGTTATTATTTTTGCTTTCTTTTCTATCATCATCATCATCATCTTTATATCCTACCTTTTCGTTGGAGTCCAAATGCAACTTTCAAATATTTTCATTCATTTTATGCTCACAGCAACAACCCAAAGCATTGGATTGAGAGAAAGCAATTCACCCAAAGACACCCATGTTGAGGATAGACTTGAACCTGGATCTTCCCTATCTTATTCCAGTACCTTAACCATTAGAACACATTGTCTCTTTGTTTTCTTCCATTCCTGAGTAGAAGAAACTAGGGGTTGAATCAGGATCCAGTTTCTCCTGTAACATTTAACTATCGGTTATTTCAATATATTTCCCAAACATAGAAAGCAAGAATCTTTAATGGGGATGCTGAGAGTTTTGTGCATGGAAATTATTGGCCTTCATAAAAGTAAAGTGGACTTAAAGCCCAATAAAATAAACCACTCAAGAAAACAGTATATGGATATTTATTCAGTCTTGGCTTATGTTAAGTCAATAAATCCTTTAACAATTTGCACCGGCTTAGACAGCATCAAGGAACTTCACCTTAAAAATCTTGTGAAAAGAGCATGCGATGGTGATGCAGCTATCTCAAGGTTATTCAAGTACATCTTTCCTTATCCCCATTTAAAGGCAGGAAAGATTTCACACAGGCTGACAACAAAGATTGTGGAAGGGAGGGAGATCAATGGAATCAATCAACAGGGATTTTAGGTTACAATCTGAGGTAGATGCCTGAAGGTAAGTTTCCATTAGACTCTGTAGGGCTTGCCTTTCAGTAGACCTGGAAAGAAATTAACTGTACATTTGCCAAATCTGTATTCCCACTTCTGATGCAGGTTGACTAAAACATCGCCTGAATGAGAAATTAGCATTGCAACTGACACAGTTCCAATGTCATGCAGCTTTCCAAATTTGGATGCTTCTCCTTGCATTTAAATGCAAACGCTAATCACAGTCCCTTTATATTCCCATCAGAATTGAGTATAATATGAGATTTGGAGTTTCTCTTTGAATCTCTAACATGCCAGCTTCAAAATGTGGCAATACAATGTTTCCTTTGCTTTTCTTGGAAGGAGGAACAAACATTTCCCTCAAAACAAGAACAAAAAAAAAATCACAGTATTGTTATAGCAATAGCACAGCAATAGCATTTAGGATTATATACTGCCCCATAGCACTTTTTTAGCACTCTCTAAATAATCCTGTAGAAGCATTATTTGCATATTGCCCCCAACAATCTGGGCCCTCATTGGAAGGACCTTGGAAGGATGGAAAGCTGAGTCAATCTTGAGCCCCATCAGGATTGAACTCCAGGCTGTGGGCAGAGTTTGGCTGCAATACTGCGCTTTAACCACTGAGCCACCAAGGCTATGTGAGTAACACAGTCTTATCTCTATCCACTGTGCTTCTCTATCACCTCCCACAATTTTAAATGCCACCTTCTTTGGTCAAAAGCCTGCCTGTGCCTAAACCAGGGGTGTCCAAACTTTTTTCAAAGAGGGCCAGATTGGATGAAGTGAACGTGCTGGAGGGCCGAACATTTTTCCAAACATTCTTTGAACCATTACAATTAAACGCAAATGAATTATTTTATGCCTCTTTCCTCTCCCTCTCTTTCCTCTTTCTCTCTCTCTCTCTTTCCTTTCCCTTTCCTCTCCCCTCTCTCTCT